CCACTTTTCGCGAAGTCATGGATATGATTAACAAGCTAATGTGCAAGCCACAGACTTTGGCTCGAAAAACTGAACTAAAGTTGACCACTTTACGAAAATGGCGCCGAAAAAATTAGTTGCGTGAATCTTCAATTTTCAAGGAATCTACCTGATCATTTGAGAAGATTTTTGCACCAAGATGTAGCCAACAGTGATCATCGTCGTTATGGCGACTACCAGGACATAAAAAGTCCAAAAACCTATTCAAATTTGCATTTATTCCTCTCGGAAAGGTTTCATCCACACGAAAATACCGATCTCACACAAAAAAGCTCTCAGAATGAGTAGTTGTTTTCAATTTATTCGTGAAAGCCTGCATAGTGCGGTGAGTTTCAATGTCATAATTCTGCGGGAATGAGTAAGGCATGCAGAAAGTAGGGCCAGTGCGAGCCTCTGCGAAGCAGAGGTGACGCACTGGTGACTTATAACGGGCTAAGGGTATTTATGTGGCTTTGTGTATGTGTGTGTGTGTGTGTGTGTTTGTGTGTGTGTGTGTGTGTGTGTGTTTGTGTGTTTGTGTGTGTGTGTTACGAAATTCGTGGAGCGTGTTCCAGCTAAGGTCTTGAGCCCAAATTTTGCATGGCGCATGCTACCTTCATGAAAGTCCAACATGCAAAAGCACGAGTAGATTCGTTGAGTGGATCCCTCAGAAATTGCGCGCCAAACGGGTCCACCTGGCTTCTGTACCGCAAAATTCGGTCCGTATCACCACTTTTGCAGAATCGTGGATGACTTTGGTAAGCAAATGTGCAAGCGATGGAGTTTAGCCAGAAAAGTGGTCGAAAGTTTGCTACATAACGAAAACGGCGCCAAAACGAATTGGTTGTGTAAATGGTCAATTTGCCAAGGTTCTAGCTAAGCGTTTGAGAAGATTTTCGCACAGAGATGTAGCTCACGGTTATCATTACCTTTATGGCGATTACCAAGTCATGAGAAATCCAAAAACCTGTTCAAATTTGCGTTTGTCTTCCTGCGAAAAGTTTTATCCACGCGAAATCACCGATCTCACGTGAAAAGACTTTCTAAATGAGTGGTTGTTTACATTTTATTCGTGGTAGTCGGCATAGCGCGGTGAGTTTCAGTGCCACGATTTTACGAGAATGAGTAAGGCACATAGATAGTAGAGCCAGTGCGAACCTCTGCGAAGCAGAGGTGACGCACTGGTTTAGAATATAGAGTATACGACTTATTGACGTAAGAAGTTAAAGTGTAACAAGATTTATGTCATAACCTAATATTTCTTAAAAACAGATTCACATTACTCTTCCATTAATTCAATAAAAATATTTTGCGTTCTGACTGTAACTCTAGCTGATGGATTTCATTCTAGACAAGTAGTTATATCACCTATTGGGTCGCTTCGAAAATTCGTGCCGTTTTTAACACCTACCCTAGAATCGTTCTTAGCAGTAAGGCAAATGCTTGAACAGTCTTTGATGAAATTTCTTCCTCTTTTTAGCAGTAACTAGCTGCAAAATCAGCTCGCCCGGCCCTGTCAATATTATTTTAGTAATCAGCATGCCCACTTACCCAATTCGGATATCAGTCGCGCATAGTTGGTAGACGTTCATCCCTACAACTTCCAATGAATCTTGTTCTCTTCTACATTTTTCTTGCTCTTGTCTAGTGCTCACTAAGTCTTGACAAGATATCTTCTCAGTGATGAAAGTCCAAGCCCCGAAGCCAAACTACCAAAATGCCGTCGTGCTCAAGGAAAAGTTTCTAAGAAGAGAATTCCCGCAGCATTCGTGAAATTGAACATGTAATATTTTATAATGGTTCAGGGTGTAATGGGCTAACATACGCATACTTTACCTCCAACAAAGTGAACGTGTTACTTTTTCAACTTTTTCTCAAAGTTAGAAGACAAACTCAGTTAAAGAAGTAACAATAATCTATGTATAGCGAACGGTGGTACACTCAACGATGCATACGATAGAGCAAAGCAAGAGCAAGCGGGACTATCGGCCAGTAAGCTTTCTTCGTTCGCGTCAGCAAGGAAAAATCAATTATCAAAAAGTCGACGTATTTGCGCGCACAGGAGGGCTCAAATAATGGATTTTTTTTGGTTTGCTCACAGAAATTTTTGTGCAACAAAGATAGCTCGAATTTTCTTTAGCCATGAAACATTCGCTGAAATGTAGGCTACTCAATGGTAACAGCCAAATATGTCCGCGTCTCCTTATGTGGAAGCATTTTTACGTCAAAGTAAATGGTTTCAAAGAAAACTCGTCAAAATTCTCCAAATTTTCTCTTCTCTCTCGCTTGTTTTTTATACAAGTCATACTGTGCTTATGGTAGAGGTAACATCGCTTAATCCAACAAAATTCAATTTGTGCAAAAAGGTTGATTTTGAAGAGAGTTATAACATTTCTAATCAGAAAATCTGCAAATCGGACAGAACTTTCGCAAAACCTAGTATACTCATAGGTGCGATAGGGGGAGCCGGGCTTTCCCCAGGTGAAGGGGGTATCGGCTGTTCCCGACCTTCCAGGGTGAAGGGGGTATGTGAGTCTAGGGGGGAGAGAGAAAAGGTAAAAACGCGTGTATGAAGATCTCTAATTTGTACCTTATTTAGGCACAAGTTGAAAAAAAATTCAAAAAATTTTCAAAGGAAATTAAAAAATTTTGAAAAAATTGACTTTATGAAGATCTGTGCTCCTGTTTCATTGCATCAACAAAAAATGAAAGCAATAAGGTTTATCCCAAAAGATGTACAAGTTGGGAGCAACTTACAATTCCTGCATCATCATCTTTTCACGGCCACTCAATTCAATCGGTCATACAAAATCATGAAACAAGCAAGTAACTAGCAAAAAACCATAACTGTTTCATGCTTGTTTCATTCTAAACCAAACTATGAGTTAAACAGCAGGTTAACACCATTGTTCCCTTATCAGATAGAGTAATGAAAACAGCACTTCATTTCATGAGACGCAGACGTGAAACCACCACATCATAGTTTAAAATGAAAAAGTACCCCCGACCGCTTTTTCGCTTCAAACAATGATGTGTTGGTTTTGCAAGTTAAGAAGAGTGAGGCAGATTATTCTGCAACTTACTATGAGAAAGCTTACTTGTTTACAGCTTAGATAAGGTTATAGGAAGGTGCAAGGCTGGAGACCGAACTGCAAATTTGGTAAAGTGCAATGATTGCCGACAAGCATGAGAATGGTTGGAGTTTCGATCTTCTCCAATGACTTTGCTTTGCAAGATAGCATTTCGAGGTTTCCTATTGATTAATTCGTGGTTTCGTTGGGAAAATGATGTGAAGCTGCTGGTTAGCTGGTGTCATGAAAACACAGTTAACATGATGGTTTCGACCAAATTACTACCACTCCAGAAGTTATGAATTTTTGAAAATCGTGCGCAAAAACTTTCGGGACGACCTAATAAGAGCCAGGTGGAGCAAGTTAATAGTAAAAATGTGCTATGGATTGACATCGTTATCAGCACTAACGGGAACGTGAGCTGACGCATCTATGTAAGCGTGCTTATCGTTGTTGTATGTTTATGTTTTTTTTGGTAAAAAATGCGCTTTTGATAACAATTATGCCATCATCATTAGCACACACTCGAAAAACTATGGGAGATTGGTGAATTTCCACACCTTCACACAAAAACCCGCCCATTTCTGGAATCTATACTCTGTAAACCTAGTGCTGAAGAAGGTCACTTTCGTGAAAACGCTCTAGGCTCACCCTACCTAATTTGTAGAGAATGGTTGGTTTCAATGAATCAAAAACTTTGAGACATTCAGAAGAGTAACATGTTATTAAAATATCCCTCAATGTTTTGGAAAGATTGGCAGTTTGAAGAGGAAACGGCAGGAAGAATACTTTACAAAATCGCAGATGACTCGCATGTGTTCCAGTTCAACAGAGAGGCAGAAGGAGAATCTTACGCCAACGAAAATATTGTCGACATTGATACAGAGTTGACAATAGAGCGAAACTTTCTGATTTCCTATACAAGGAATCCAAGCAGATTGCCTAGTTTCAATGAGGAAATGTCCAGGAAGTCCATTGCTGATCTTCAGGTTGCTGAAGATTTCAAGGCTGCTAAATTCACAAACATGGATACGAACAAAAGGAAGGTGTTAGTACAAATCATAGCTACTGCTCTTAGATCCCGACTCTCTTTGGAGTGCAAACCCAACTCTGTGCTTTATGCTTTTGGAAGTTATTCGCTTTGTGACATTATGACCTATAATATTGAAAAAAAAACCAACGCACAGCATAGTATCTACTTTTTTCGGGTGTTCCGCAGATGCTGTTAAAGAAGAAGTTGAGCAGCTTTCTCATCAGCTAACAGGAGGTATGCCAGAGGACCCATTATTTACCGCAAAAATCTGATGGACTTGCTAGCAAAGCTAGCTTCCATTTTGACTAGCACGGCAGAGGTGAAGAAAGGATTTTCTATCTACTCTGTTATCAGAACATAACGCAGAAGTCGCACAACGGTGGAGAATCTGAATTACTTAAGGTTTGTCAACCTTCTACTAAACATATTGTTATCTAAAAACTTCGTTCAAAGGATTGCTATAAGTGGTCCAAACAGGATGTCACGTATGACTTCTTGAACTATCCTAAAAGATGGTATGAAGAAACTGGTCACCTACCTGCTGACTTTCCTGGTGCTACCAGAGGGCCAGGAAAAAATCACAAAAGCAATTTCGACTTAGAACGCTTTTTCACGCAATTCTACTTGTACTCCGATGACCTTTTGGAGGAAGAAGAAGATCTTTCAGGCAGCGAACTTGTTGTCTCCGACGTTAGCGATAGTGATATTGTTGGTAATGATGTGCAGGAATTGTAAGTTGCTCCCACTTGTACATCTTTTGGGATAAACCTTATTGCTTTCATTTTTTGTTGATGCAATGAAACAGGAGCACAGATCTTCATAAAGTCAATTTTTTCAAAATTTTTTAATTTCCTTTGAAAATTTTTTGAATTTTTTTTTCAACTTGTGCCTAAATAAGGTACAAATTAGAGATCTTCATACACGCGTTTTTACCTTTTCTCTCTCCCCCCTAGACTCACATACCCCCTTCACCCTGGAAGGTCGGGAACAGCCGATACCCCCTTCACCTGGGGAAAGCCCGGCTCCCCCTATCGCACCTATGAGTATACTAGGTTTTGCGAAAGTTCTGTCCGATTTGCAGATTTTCTGATTAGAAATGTTATAACTCTCTTCAAAATCAACCTTTTTGCACAAATTGAATTTTGTTGGATTAAGCGATGTTACCTCTACCATAAGCACAGTATGACTTGTATAAAAAACAAGCGAGAGAGAAGAGAAAATTTGGAGAATTTTGAAGAGTTTTCTTTGAAACCATTTACTTTGACGTAAAAATGCTTCCACATAAGGAGACGCGGACATATTTGGCTGTTACCATTGAGTAGCCTACATTTCAGCGAATGTTTCATGGCTAAAGAAAATTCGAGCTATCTTTGTTGCACAAGAAACGAAGAAAGCTTACTGGCCGATAGTCCCGCTTGCTCTTGCTTTGCTCTATCGTATGCATCGTTGAGTGTACCACCGTTCGCTATACATAGATTATTGTTACTTCTTTAACTGATTGTCTTCTAACTTTGAGAAAAAGTTGAAAAAGTAACACGTTCACTTTGTTGGAGGTAAAGTATGCGTATGTTAGCCCATTACACCCTGAACCATTATAAAATATTACATGTTCAATTTCACGAATGCTGCGGGAATTCTCTTCTTAGAAACTTTTTCTTGAGCACGACAGCATTTTGGTAGTTTGGCTTCGGGGCTTGGATTTTCATCACTGAGAAGATATCTTGTCAAGACTTAGTGAGCACTAGACAAGAGCAAGAAAAATGCTCTCAGACGATATTTATATCTCTGCAACAAGTACAAAACTCCCCTCCAAGAAACTAGCTGCGTTAAAAAGGGCAACTAAAAATCGGATAGTTTCGGAACAACCTAGTACAATTACGGGGGGTGAAAGCAGCACAGCTTCGTTTTTGTACAGACACAAAATTTTTAGTTTTTTCGATTTTTAGATGAGAAAAATGTACGGGAACGGTACATATGAGAGTTCTGATGTGGTGTACAATCTGTGTGAGTAAGTTGGAGATTCGTAGGATTTTTAGACAAAGATATGATTTTCTTTATTTTTTAAGCTTTCAGTACTATTTTCTGGATGCAAACTTACGGTGAATCGAAGCTGTGCATAATTTTGCACACCATGATGAAGTATAGGGAATCAAAAAAATTGTGACGATGGCGCGACCGCGCGACACACACGCACCTTCCGGCAACCGCATTTTCTTGTTTTAATCTCTACTCGACTGGTTTTTCTGTTAGGTATATTTGAACACTGGAAGTGACTGAGCTGAGCGTTGAGGGTGTTACGCTCCTGTGTGCGCATCCGTCGTCAAGATTTTATAAATGAATTTTATATGACTTGTCGCCGTAAGATTTCAAAATGTAACAAGACTATGTTACAACCTAATAGTTTAGGTAGGAAACTAATTGAACACTTACTTATAGCAGGAAGGTCCAGCCAACCTTTATCCAATAGATCTCTGACACATTGGGCCGCCCTACAAACGACAACTCTATACAGAGATTACACATAAATTCGACTATGTAAAACCTAAATACTCTGCATAAACGTACGTCTTTGCATGAACGTTGGTAGTTTCGTTTATAAAATCATCTAATGTCTGCTGAAAAATTACCCATGATATGCATATATAGAAGCAGGGCTCTCACACCTCAATCCAATGTTCTTCATGCAAAAACTTTTGTCTTCTTCTGCATCTTAACTCTATCCTTTTTGATGGTCTCATTCGACATAGATCGTTCTGCATGAGAAAGGTATTGATGGCTTTCATGAGTAGATTCACTTAAAAAATCTTACATCCCCTTTCGGTGGTTTCTGCAAGTACTCAATATACGTTTTCACCTGAGTACTATCATCACAGCGAAAATTCTGCGGAAACGTAAACATATAGATTGCTTGAAAATTTTCACCGTCTTCTACCGCCTGATATACAGAAGTAGAGGATCATTTGCCAACCCATGCGGAATAATAAAATTATTATGAACCAGCCCATCATCTTTGCTTCTCAGAGCTTCGCACTGTCCCTATTATCTACTACTCTTTACTCTCGCATGATGATCGCTTTGGAACCATCGCAAAATGCTGACTCACGAATGAATCGTAAACAACTACTTATTCCCTGAGCTTGTTCATGTAAAATCGGTAACTTTGAGAAAGCAATTTTTTTTTGCAAGAGCAAATGCGGATATGAATCAAACACTGAGTGCTTTTGTATGATAGTCGCCATAAAAACGATGACTATCGTATGGTATGATACATCCCTACGCATTAATTCTCCCATTTATTTGATCAAAACGACAATTTGACGATTTACGCACTTATTCCTTTTTGCGTTGTTTTCGCGAAGCAACAGATTTTTACTCACTTTCAAGCAAAAACCAATAACCTGCGGAATCGCTTCAAAGACGAATTCTTCACCTTGCAAAAAGTTTGATTACCGCCGCAGTTCTGGGGCCAAAACACGCATGGCTCCTTTGAAACCCTATTTTTGAAGACCCATAGGACCGGCTCGTCCTTAAGCATGGTGGATCTACATATGGTATCGTATACTGCGCAAAATTGTGGCTGCAGACGTTGGTAACTCGCTCTATGAATTTCTTGACAGACAGATATTCACATACACGGACAAACAGACGCTTAGGGCTTTACTATAAGTTATGATGAGAGAAGCTTGACTGTAATGAATCATATCTTTTGCAAAAGGCAGCGCCAAGATATGACCATTCTAAACGTTTCTGACTTTCTCTTCTGGGCTCCACTGTCACGTTAATTTATAAAGTTGTTACAGGACGAACTACAGGTGCGATAGGGTGAGAATTTTCTCACCCTCCCTTCACCCCTGAGCCGGGACCAAGGTGACCCCCTTCACCAAAAGCCGAGAAAAATAATCAACAGTGAGGTAAAATTAAGCAAAGATATTTGTACGCGAATTGTTTATGTATAGGAAAGGAGGAGTCTGTTGAAAAAAGGGCTTGGTGACGGGTGTGAGTAATGATTTTTGGAGATTTTCGAGTTTTAACATAAAAAAATTCATAACTTCTGCACTTGAACATCTTGTGCATTTTGATGGTTACCATTGGCCGCCTCGTCCTCCGCTTTCAGAAAATATATACTATGTTTGGGGTCCGTTGAAAAAAGTGCCTGGGTGAAGGGTGTCCTAGTGATTTTTGGAGATTTTCGAGTTTTTAACATAGAAAAATTCATAACTTCTGTTGATGAACATCTTGTACGCCGAGATGGTCACCATTAGAAGCGCCTCGTCCTCCGCTTTCAGAAAGTATATACTTTGCCTGAGGTTCGTTGAAAAAGTGCCGGGTGAAGGGTGGATGAGACTTCTATAATGGGAGTGCTCAAGTAGACGTCTTTTTACAATGGTAAAAAAGCCTGTACTTGAGCACTCCCATTATAAAAGTCTCACCCACCCTTCACCCGGCGCTTTTTCTAACGAACCCCAGGCAATTTATATATTTTCTGAAAGCGGAGGACGAGTTCCAATGATGACCATCACGGCGTACAAGATGTTCATCTGCAGAAGTTATGAATTTTTTTAATGTTAAGAACTTGAAAATCTTTAGCAATTACTAGGACACCCTTCACCCAGGCACTTTTTTCAATAGACCCTAGGCTTAGTATATATTTTCTGAAAGCGTAGGATGAGACAGTTCCAATGGTGATCATCACGGCGTACAAAGTGTTCATCAGCAGAAGTTTTTTAATGTGAAAAGATCAAAAATCCCCAAAAATCACTAAGCAAACCGTTCACTGCACTTTTTTGAATGGATATCAGACGTCCTATATATTTTCTGAAAGCGGAGGACAAGATGGTTATAAAAACCTTTTCATTGCTGACGTTGCTGTTTGTCTACAGAAGTTACGGATTTCTTCTTTTGAAAATTCGTAAATGCTTAAAAAATGTCTACCTCTTTCCCGAAACAGATGTCCTCGCATACACATCCTCTATGGTATTTTTAAAAACATATAGGGTTGTTCCAATCCTATCAGTCTTCACATTTTGGTAAAAAGATAACCAGTGATGGCAGAGAATTTGAAATGATAAACTTTGATTTGGAAAATAAGAAAACACCATCGCCTTCTCCCCCCCCCCCCCCGGTCGGCATTTCATGATTTCTCGATCAACTGAAACACCCTTTACCCTGGAAGGACTGCGACCACTGTGACCCCCTGGAGGAGTCATTCTCACCTTATCGCACCTGTGGACGAAAAGTGCCAATCAGAAATTTCGGTTTCCTCGACGAAGCAACCTAGGCTAGACTTGTGGACAAAATCATATCCCTCCCCTTTTTGTACTACGTGCTCCCTGCGCAGTCACTTATGATAAGGAATACGACCATTTGCGCAGGATTTTTCGGGATCTGCGTGATGCTCTGGATTCACAGAATTATAAAACTCAAAAAACACCGGGGCTACCGTAATTTTTAGGCGTCAAAGAGATTCAAGGTCAGTAGCTGCACCGTAATTCAAATTTGACTCAACTTGACGCCTAATTTCCGGCGTTGCGTCCCTGCCTCTGCTGCTTAGCGTTCATTGCGAAGACATTGGGCAACCGCAGTTGATCGGCCCAAGTGTGCTGATCGAAGTAGTCTTATTACGGAGTACAAATAATGAAGGTATATATCTAGATACCAGAAAGTAGCTGTTTATTCGCCGTGGGATACGACTGATAGAAAGCTCATATCTGCTGTCTTTTGTTTTTTAAACTTGTTGTCGTAGAAGATCCTATTCCCGCCAATCTGTACTTGAGCATGTCAAGGCTAGGATTGATTATTGCGAATGTTTGCCTCTATACCGCGAAGCTATGGTTGGTCTCAAGGCTTACATATCATCCACTCTGTGACCGAAATACTGGAAAAAGCTTGGCGCCGTCGTAACCAATTTATGATTTACTTTAAGCATTTTGGACGACTTCCTATGTGAAGTTCGTAAGAGAACAAATTCGTGCTTTTGAATAGTGTATGCTACAGCGTGCTCGAGTATCATACTCACAGAATGGAAGATAACTGTAGAGCTTGTCGCAGATGTCATACAGTCCGCCCCAATCGGGATCAGGCCGAACCGGCGGCGTAAATTTGCGCGCTTGCAGCGCTAGGGTTTTGAGCTGCATATGCGCGTGTTGGAGAGAGCGAGGAGACCAAGGAGGAAGCAGATAAGCAGGCCATGGGCGTAACCGCGAAACCCTAGCGACGCGGACTCCCGCCATGCCAATTTTGGCCTGGTTGCAGTTGGGGCGGTTTGTACAATAGGCATTCCTCGTTAGTCTCTGCCGGATAAATCAAAACTCGAACAGCCGTGGTAAGAGAATTGCTTCAGCGAAATATCTTCCGTGCATTAGAAGCAAAACTTCTGCATTTTGTAGCAACATCAGACAAAAAGAGATAAGACGATGTGCTATTTCACTATGTTTTCCTATATCATAGAGTTTTGTTTCAACAGTGAGTGTGATATCATGACAGCAGTGAAATTACGAGCTCCGCTGACTTTGAGATGTATGGTCTGATGCTGCTCAGACAGTTGAAGTGATACCTCCGGCGGGCATATGGCGCGAATCTGCCACTTCCCGCTCCGGAGCCCTGCCATTTCACGCATTTGTGCTCCGGGGCTCTCCCAAAAGTGGCCCACCCCCGGAGCAGAGATTTGCGCGTCGCGGAGAGGGGTCCCATTCATTCACCGTGACGTCACGGTGACGTCACAAACAGGACGGATGGGACCCCTCTCCGCGACGCGCAAGTCTCTGCTCCGGAGGTGCGCCACTTTTGGGAGAGCCCCGGAACACAAAAATGCGTGAAATGGCAGGGCTCCGGAGCGCGAAGTGGCAATCCTCCGCTGGGGAAAGCCCGCGACCCTGCCACTTCTGCTCCGGAGGTATCCCATCGACTGTCTGAGTGATTGAGCATTCTTGCAGCAGTTCCAGTACATCTAAAAATCATCAGTAACGTAGTTGTCAAGTCTAGCATTAAACATTGCGTGGAGCTCTCACCGCGTTCATGAACAGTCACAAGTGACCTATAATGTAACTTTTACTGCTTTGAACATTGAGTAGAGACCAAAGTCACGGTTCTGGCATGCTCATCACCAGATGCAACTGAAAGGTTGCTTTATGACTGAACGATTAGGCAGCGCAACTCTTCATTATGGCTCACATCAACTTCAAGAGCTCATAGATGGAAGCTACTTTGGTTGACAACTACCCAAAATTAGAGTGCTAATTATGAGTTAGACGGCTGTTGTTAGAAAACTAACCGAAATGCTGATAAAGCTGTTATAATTCTGTTTTAATAGTCTTGACCTCTTTATTTCCTCATGATAAGATCTTACATGGTCCGAAGCTCCCCAAACTGTTGCAGTTGCACTACGTTAAAGAGATGGGGTCGACCAAACTTCAGGAGGTTGAGGTCAATAAAAAACTAAATGTTCAACATTCTCTAGTCTCTATCTACGCACAAAAGCTGTGAAAAAACACGAATAAGTCCCTTTAGAACTTGTAGAGGTATTTGTTCACTGCGACCCGGTTAAATAGCTAACAGCTAATAGCTTACTAAATCAATGGCTATACGAGCGAATCAAAACCCAATGTCTTCGTAATAAACGCTAAGCAACAGAGGCAGGGACGCAACTTCAGAAATTAGGTGTGAAATGAAGTCAAATTTGAATTGCGGTGCAGCCACGGGAATTTCTCTGACGCTTAATTTTACGGTAGCCCCGGTGTTTTTCGAGTTCTATAATTCTGTTCTGGGTTCGCTGGATTAGGATTCGCGGTATTGGCGGGATTTCACCATAACTTCAGTTACAAAAGATAAATCCCAATTTAATGTGGCGAATCATAAGAACCGCATTCATAAGATGCGTCCTGTTGAGCTGATTCCAAGTCTATCCTATATATTTGCGGCGCCGTTCTCTGGAAAAAG